TGTCAGCCCCGGCGCCCAAACCCCCCCCGGCACCGGGGCCGGCAGCGAGCCTGCCCGGGGGGGCTCTGGGGCACGGCCCCCAAGCGCCGGGTTCGGGAGTGGACGAGAACCCTGCCATTAGGTGATTTCTGGCCTTTTTTTTTTTTTAAATTTTATTTTTAAGCCTGGCGCGAGTGCCGATCCCTGTCCGTTGCAGTTAATTGCCTGACCTCATGCTTTCATTATGTAATTTGGGTGGTTCGCTATTGAAATCCTGATAGGAATTTGTCTCTGCTTTCCCTCCCCAGGAGTTAGGACAGAGCAGGACCTGTATGTTCGTCTAATAGACTCCATGACCAAACAGGTGAGAAAGTTTACGCTTTTTCTTAACACGCAAGTTACCAAGTTTGTATTTTGCCCTTGCTCGGGGGCGGGGGGGTGGGGTGGAATATTAAACCGGTAGACCGCACCTACTTTTCATTTACCTGAGCGGGTGACTCGGATACCTATTACCGGAGGATCTTTTTAAAAGGGAAAAAGGTGTGTTGTTGCTGGTCGAGGAAGCGTTGGCATCACTACATAGCGTGTGTGGCATTAAGTACAACGTCATGTGAGCAGATGTTTGATATAATTAATTTAGCGAGGGAGAGAGGAGAGGGAAAAACCCATCAAGTTGCCCAGATTTATTTTTAAATGCAGTTTTCCCCCATCGTAACTTTTCTTGGCGATATTTTTCCTCGGTGAGGAAAGGGCAACCCTCTTCCTAGGCACTCCGAAACTGGCCGGGATTAGTCCTTTTCTTTTATAATGCGATGATCTAGTAACGCGAGACGTTTATTTGGATTTAAAAGTTAAATGTGCTGAGGTGAAAAGTCATCTTGTTCTCCTCTAGTCCATAGTCACCTCTCAGCCCCCCATCTCCATAATTCAAACTCCATGCTCCAGGGGTCACCCAAACCCGTCCATTTCCCTGAGATCAGCTTCTGTTTCTTCCTCAAACCTCTGTCATACCTTGTAAATAACATAATTACAAGCAGTTCCTTATTAAATTATTTAACCTGTCTTGGTCAACTTTTCCGATGATAACTACGTGTTATCAGCATTGCACCACAGCAATTAAAGACAGAAAGCTCCATACTAGCTTTGGATTTAATCAACTTTTTTTTTTTTTTTTCCGGAGAGACCTTTCACGATTTATTTTTTCTTTTTTTTTTTTTTTTTTTTTTTTTTCCGGGGGAGGGGGCGGGGGTGGTGGGGAGAAAGGTGAGAATGGAGAATAATTCCCAGTGTTCTGGAAATCAGATACCAGAGATGGAAATTAAAACCATTCCACCGATCTGCCGGGTTTTAACACCCCGGGCGTGCTTTACGCCTCCCGGCCGAGGCAAGCCTGCCCGCGTATAGTATTTTTGTTAACTTTGCAAATCCCCGAGCGAGGAACCGGAGAGACTTTCCTCCGCGGGAGCGGAGCGCGGTCGTGCCCGCCGCCTGCGCGGCCGCGCAGGCGGCGGGAACGACCGCGTTCCCCTCCCGCTCCGCTCCCATCCCCGCTAGAAGGAAACTTTCTACTTCTTTTCCCTAAAAATCGCGGCTGGGATCTCAGTGCCTCCAGGAGTAAAATACCGTGATTTCCTCCCGCAGAAAAGCAGAGCTGACAGGCGAAGGGCAATTCCTCTGACAAAGACGAAGGCGTTGTAACCCTTCAATAATTATCTCAATGGGTTACAGAGGAGCCCTTTTAAACTCTGGAGCCCTCTCGAGTTGACAATGTGGGTTTATTTCCTTTGTATAGAGCAGCTAAATGTTTTCGGAAATCGCTGTAGTAGGCTAATTAAGAGGCTTACATAGGCAGCTATAAGTTTCGTTACCGATGAATAAAGGAGCAAAGAGGATACCTTTTAAGTACACTTTTATTGTTCATTTGGGCTCCGTACCTTTGCAGCAGAAAGAGTGCTGAAAATAAAGGCTTTTAATCTCCCCTCACTGACGGGAGAGAAAAAAAAAATAGCCCAGTAACTGATCAAAGAGTCAATGGCGCTGAACCGACAGTTTATGGATTTCTGTTTGTGCTACAAAATAAAAAATAAATCACTTATAAATACGTGGTTCCATCAGAGGAAAAGTAACAATCACCAGAAGTTATATGGCACGCTGCAACAACAAACATTTCGGCAGCCACAGACTGCTTGTTATGTCTGCGCTGTCATATATTACCCCCTCTCTTTGCAAAACAATACCTGGCGGTGGGGCCGCCGCTACGGCGGG